CCCTAACCCTAATTAAGTAAGATCTGCATCAATAACGTAACCTCAAAAACTCAGGTTTCACCTCCCATATTATAATTGATCATATGATTATGGTTGACCAAATTTCTCCCTCTACCTTACGCCTAAGATCAAATATTGACCTCAGCCAAATAATCAACTATGAATGGTCCAGTCTAATCACTTATTTTAACGAACAAATTTTCTTGACAGATATTAGCCAAGACAGGTCAGACCATTTTTCAGAACATAATAAAATATCAAAAGTCAAGCGCACGTACATGTATTATGATTAATTTAATACAGTAATAGATAAACTTGCATAACGATAATAAAGATAATAAATAAATGCATCTCAAACTAGCGTGAGTCATAGCAATAAAAATAAACAAGTTCAGATACTTGTTAATAAAAAATACTATTCTTTTTTTTACTCTTAAATTATTGCCATAGGTAGTTAGATATTTTAAAATTGAAGCCATGCATAGCCACAAATTTTAACAGCTACCGAAAATGTTTGCATAATGATAATACTGTATATCACATAATACCTGATAGATTTTTTGAACATCGATCGATTTGAACATGTGAAAGCGCCATCCAATGGCATGCAAGATTTTGTGCACAGTAAGCCATGCACTACGTACACGGATTTGCACAGACACTTTCACATCATACACTTCATTGCATTCAATTCCTGGTATATGGAATTTCAAATAACAAGGAATGATCATCTAATCAAACGCCGAGAATCGTACACTCCATTTGAAATGCCATTAAACTTATACTCTGTGTACGTACTCCTTTCTTGGTATATAATTTTTTTTTATTTTATGCATTTGATTTTTTTTTTCTTGTTTTTTTTTATCGCGCTGATAAAATGATGATAAAAATGAGAGCGAAAGAATATGTGAAGCAAAGGCCCATGACAGTTATGATCACATAAACAGTCGAGTAGTTATGTCTGTATGTGCGCCATAGGAGTAAGTGAATGAATACATAATGATAAATATTCCACTGAAATATTCCGATAAAAATCACAGGTATTTAGTAAATTAAATTTTCAGAGGCTGAATATATTGTTTATAAATTTTAAAGCCTGAAGCTTAGTTTCTCCCAACAACACTAACAGGTTAAAGTAGCTGGCTGAGGTAAATTAAGCGGTTTTCATCATGTGTGACGATAAATGCTTATTATTGATTAAGTTTCTAGATTAAACATATTCTTGATATTCCTACAAGTGAATTAAGTTAAAACAATAATGAATTAATTTTACGTATCTCATATTATTTTAAACATAGTTTCGGACATTTGTCAGAATAAACTTTAATAAAAATATACAATATGTCAAATAGATACAATATGAGTGACGACAAGGAAAAACAGGTTTATGGCTTTTAAATTATAATTGCCGGGCTCAATTATTCTTGTTTTTTAAGGATTGAGTCCTGTATATTTATCGTCTAAATCCCAAATTATTATAATTGGGATTTTTACATGTTCAAATACTAAACTAATATTCCCAAAACTATCAAGAATATTTACCTAAGCAAATGGCTTTTTTTTTTTGATTTAAATTTTTATGATTGGTAATTGTTTTGTGAAAGTTTTGGGGTCCGACCAGTTTTTTCTGGTACATATAGTTATAAGTTTTAAAGCGTGAAGTCTAGTTTTTCCTTGGCATCGCACATATATTAATCAATTAAAGTTGAATAAAATTTTAGTATTATATATTATAGATGATATTTTCCTTTGCGAAATTTAGCATAGTTATATAGCTTTCCAATTCCAATTTATGCCAAAAGCTTTTAGTAAAGCTTTTTATCCTACAAATTTTAGCAATGTCCTCTTTACTTGAAATTCATGAAGATATTCCTCCAAAAATCAAGTCTACCTTTGGGCAATCAATCATAAATTTTTGCAATATTTTGATGGGTAATAAATTGAATCATTGAATAAAATTCCTAGTTATTTTATGAATTAACTCTGGTTTCAGTCTATTTTTAATCATTAAGTAATATTAACATTATATTATAACAAATTGTTTTTAGGCATTGGAACCCTTTCATTACCACTTGCTTTTAATTATTCAGGATGGATTATAGGGTTATCAT